GAATATTCTCACACTCGATTATTTTTGCATGACAAAAGCGAAAAACATTTTTGATGGATTCATAAGCCGTCCTTTTTCATATCCGCATAACATAAAGGAGCACAAAGGTAAGCAACGACGACCACGACGGAAACGATAGCGGCGGTCTAGCCTGCATAACAGGCGCTGCCAAACTGTACGTGCATCACAACGTCATCACACTTGGTTGGTTCTTTACCGTCATCGCAGTGCTACCATGAAATTTTTCTATAATTTCTAGCCGTAATTTCAAGTTGTATGTTGGCTAGTATGAACACATAACGACGATTCCTCAGTTTTCTTTTCTCTGAACTTAGAAGATGCGGAAGAAGCCAATTGCCTAGTATAGATACGTTGCGTAACTAATTCTAGAAAGATGTAACTTGTCCGGGTGGATAGTACTTTCTGGTAATAGACTGTTGTTGTGGATGTTCGCTGGATGGGGTCATCCATTAAATTAACCTTTGCTATTTGGATGATCCCAACTCGCTCCTTATTTAAAACTACAATTTTTATTCTTTACTAATTTATTTGTCTTTTTTTCAATCTGTGAACTGGTCACACGTAAACAGAGCTGAGTGAAATTTCTCTTCTTGTCTTCTTGTCCATAATGGGGTTGCATTTTCAATAGAGTTGATAGAATGGGGACTATGGGATCGCATATTTCAGAATTTGCGGGGTAAGAGTATTCCAGTTATCAGGGATTTAAGACATGACGGTTTTTACTACATTAAGGTGGCCCGAACCTATTTATTTAGGCGTTGGTTATGTTTTTGAATCGGGTTTTTCGGCAGAAAAGATTTAACCGACCTCTATGATTTTTGGCATCCTTAATAAAGAATGGTCGAACTTTAAGATAATGCGAATGCAGTCACGATTGAATTCAAACTTGCAGATATAAAACTAGAGAGCTCTGAGGCTTATTTGCCAAGGTTAGAGAAAAATCTGTCTTAGGGTTTTCGAAATTATTACAGTCGACTCCCGATAACTCGAACCCTCGCTAACTCGAACCTCGCGCTAACTCGAACCAATTTTCGTTTCCCCTCAGGTCATTTTCTACATAATTTTACCCTCGATAACTCGAACCATGTTTTGAGCCCTTAAAAAGTCGGGAAAAAAGCCGTCTACGGGCGTCCGAAACATCGAATTTTGGATTTCCTATTGACGTGTTGTAGGAGTATAGTTTACTGGTGGACGCTGATGTTGATTGTCACAGGCTAACATGAAGCAGCTTTTCTTCTCAAAACAGTAAATTTAGGCTATGTTTTGTTACGTTCATTCTTATTTATAATCTAGAAGTCTGTTTTAATTTTCACTTAACATTTCTACAATTACATGTGATTAAAATGTTCACTGCGCATGCACAGTAAAAACTGTTTTTTACCTTACTCTCGGCTATTTTCTTCGAACTCCCAATAACTCGAACTCCCGATAACTCGAACCTTTTTTCGATTTCCCTTGAAGGTTCGAGTTATCGGAAGTCAACTGTATATGCCAATATCTCAAACGTTTTTATACCTACAAGAAAATAAACATTTTCTTAAAGTTCAACTATTCTCTATTAAGGATACCAAAAATCGTGGAAATCATTCCTGCCGAAAAACGCCATTCAAAAACATAACCAACGCGCATGTAAATAGGTTCGGGCCACTTTTTAAGTTTAGCAAATGGGTCATTTCACTGACCTAGCAAAAAGGCTTATACAGTAGAGATGCATAAACTGAAAGTGACTAAGTTGGGATCACGAAAATTGTATTGGGCCAAAACTGTCCAAGATGGGTATACAACTATCCACAGAAATAATAGACTTTATTAAGGTGCTGGTTGTGAGAGGCCAGAAAAAACTGTCCCAGGTAGCCCCTCCCTCCGGGCAACTGGGCTTTCCACTAATGAGCAAAACACAAATGTAAAGGAAAGAAATTGAATTAAGAAGGTATCATTCAAAACAGATAAAGTAGTTAAGCCTAAAAAATTCCTAGGTGTATGTAAGGAAAAGAATTTTTGATAGGAATAGGAATATCAAATTGACAAAGTTACAAGTGAAATATCATAAAACTAGAGACAGGAATTATGGCTTAGGCACCGAGGCATTGTGTGAATTGTGTCCCAAAACTTCTATATACACCTGCACTATGTCGTATGTGTACTGCAATATCATGTACACAAGTGCATATCAAACGCTCGAATTAAGGTGGCTCGATACAATAATTTTGTAGCGACACCTTCCATCTTTGAATCTCTCGTACTTACACAAATTGATCTTTATGGTAAAACCATTCTAACAGATGTATTACCCAGGCTTGAATTTATTATGATATTATTTTTTGGGCGATCACGTGCTAATGACGTCATAATATTTAGCTATTTTCGCTATTGTTTTCTCCCTTTTTACAACTTTATCACGTTTCGGAAAGCCGTTACGGAGGGGAACCAAGCGCGGTAAATTCTCGCGTGCTGCATGGGAATTTGAATTGTGCTAAACTCGAGGCAACGGGAAATTTCAAAGCAAAAATTATCCAAATCTATCACATTGCTTCAATATTTACTCAACTTTGCGCCTACGTTAGGCAATTTGAAATGTTTCAATAGAGAGGAAAATCGTTCTTGCTTGGATAAACAGGTTCTTATAATTTCGGTTAATAAAGTGGCAAATTTCTGCCAGCAGGTTCTTAAACGACTAGGTTCTTACACGCGGTTTTTCACTGTAATGACTTTTTACGCACTAAACTGCACTATTTATATATCCATACGTATGTTAATCGCAACCTGCCAAAATAATTCACATAAAACAATGGACTGAATAGTCATAAACTGGTCATAATAAACGGTTTGCATCACTGAAACGGCATCAGTCTTCACTGATAACGGTGATAATACAACTGAGGACAAATTATGGGAAATTCCTTTTCAACAGTTCACAGGGGCCAAACTCTTGAGTAATTTACCGAGAAAAAAAATTAAGAAATCTAAAAAGAGTAAAGAATTAACAAGAGAGATAATATACAAAATCCATTTGTCACTCAGTGTACCCTCAAAGTAGTAGCTCAGAGTATCTCTACACGAATTCTTTTTAAACTAGTACTGTGGAATACCGCCCTCTCTTAGTCCCTTTATTCTATCTTACTCCTAACGTTGTAGATTTGTAATAATCAAAGCACCTGGTGCGTTTGTAAACTACATACTTTCTAGAAAAGCTCAACATAAATTGCTCGTGCAAAGACGTCCTGATACTGTAATATTTAAATGTTAAACAATATAAATGTATCGTCTGTAACTAATAAGACGAAGGAGAAATGAAAGAAAAAATACGCGTCTTAAATTCCTTATGGAATTATTGTTATGTGAGCTTGTGACTCTCACGAGAACAGTAAAAGTTCCTATCCTTGGAGCTAGGGTCTGAATAACAAAGCATAATCATCAAATCACAGTTTGAAACCTTTACAGAACGCTCAGGTAGAACGCTTAACAGTTTCGACAGAAACATGTGAACCATGAACTTGGTTTCAGTGGCCACGCTAATTTTGTCCCCAAGGGACAGCTGTGCCTGGCACAGGCTGCCAGTTTAGCTTATGGCAAGTCTTGATTGGTAAAGGACAGTATCAGATGAAATAACTCAGCACCCGTCTCTACCCTCCAATAGAGGGCAAACGTAGGTTGTCGTGGGTAATTGCAAGCTGAAAAAGTTGATATGGTATGGGATAAGTGGTTTATAAACGGTATATTCAATAAAATCCATGTCTGGTAACTGACTAAGCTAGGGATCACGGATACAACACGACCTTAACGAAAATAATCACTCACTCACTCCTGAGCAGCCTCAGCTGTTGTGGCATATAAATACCACATAGCGCCTTTAGATTCCAAGAGTGATGAATACTCTGAGTAGATAGCTGGCCGGTCTCCGCCGCAGAGGATTTTTAGTCTTGGGTAATTCCTTCCAATAACTCTAAACAGGATTTAATTTAGTCTCCAAACCCGGAGGTAAGGGTACAACAGGCCGGGTACCACAGGCACTACAGGAGATGCTAGTATGACAGGCCTAGGCCTACATACATACGCGGCTAGTTACGCATCCTTAGCTATTGAGACTTATTAAGTATAATGAGGTATTACCATACGACAAATGATTGGTATGATTGTGAAAATTAGCAGGATTTGACTAAGGGGTCTGGCTTCAGACGTTTGACATGTGTTCGTCATGTCTTGTTTATTAGGTTAATGTTTGTATTCTAAACAGGTAGCACTTATGGCAGGTGTTGGAGCTGAGTTTCTGACCAAATTAAAAGACTCATGCACTTTTAACTGAACCAATCTTATAGTTTTACCAAATTAAATGACTCTACCGACGGGCACAAAAATTCATTATTTCCTTCCCCCTCTAAAATACAAAAAGACAAATTTAATAAGACCATTTAGTCTTTCATATTTTCTGGATTTCGAAGGTAAACTTAGTGTAGTGGAGGCTCATGAGGAAGTTCTGCATACTATGTATTGCAGTAGTCCTTCTATTTTCGACTTAAAAGCATTTATAGCAAATCTAAACTAGATAATGTAGTTCGAAAGCCGAATTTTCTGTAGTTTTAAGCGTATGTGGTCGTTGTTTTCTCTTTACTCCTTTAATTTACCCCCTTAATATAATTAGCGAGGAGAGGTAGAAATTACCTACCAATTTTGATGTTTATGCTCCCTATAAGATTCATTAGGCTTGTTCTTCATGGACAATGTTAATTGTTTAAGCACTGAGTAGCCTGTTTTTGGTATCAAGACCTTTTAGTCTCTCGGCTCGTCCCTCCCCTTAAACAGGTATTTTCATTTTTTATGATATCGCTTATGAATTCTAAAATGATTCTCAACCGTTTACAACTAAGCAACTGTGGCTGGTATGTTTAGCGTTTGACTATATGTTCCAAACGCTATAGCGTGAAGAAAAAAAATCATTTTTCTCATGAAATCGCCAAAAACAAGAATAAAGCAAGACTAGAATGAACACCAGTAAAGGAAACATTCTACACGGTGGCGTAATGGATTCGTCTAACAGCAATTTTCGAATGTCGCAAAGTGAGAGAAAAGTTACTGCAGTGGCAGCTTTCCCAGTTTGAGATTTACTACTGTTGAATGGGAAATATATCTGGACAGAGTTAACTACGTACACTTTCACTGTTTTAGCAGACCCGACAACCGGATATTGTAGTAAGCACCTCAGCAAAACACAAAACGAAAAATATGGAAACTTTATCATCGTCTCAAATGTTTCATTATCCGGAGGAGAATTGAAGAATTTATCTTCCACAGCAAAACAGTAGTTGCATTAAACTTATCTTCGACCTAATTTATCAGTGAAACAAGAGCATTATATTTCACCGACTTATTTTACATCATTAAGATTACTCGCTTACCCTGACCACCTGTCGTAAGGTTCAGCGACCTTGATTTCCCGCCAAATGATCCATATTAGAGCCTAACGCTTGTCAAAAATCTCACATGGATACTGAGTAGTACTTTTTTATATACAGCCAGTAGGCTTCAGAACGTAATTGACATTGTGACAGAATTAAAGGGCAATTCTAAGGGTGAAAAAAAAAATAAGAAAGTGTTTAATTTAGATGAGATAATCTCGCACAAATAAAAATTACCGTAAACATTTCTGGGGCAACTGGCATTAGCGCCCAATCACAGCAGCGGTCTAGTCAGTGTACCGTATCTGGCTGGCTAGTTTTATTTTAGCAATTTGACTGAGCGGCATTACGATAACCGAGGGAAAGTAGACCAGCACCTTGAAGTGTGCTTTCGGCTTAATATTCAGCCCAGTGCTTATGATTTTTGGCATATTTTTTNAAAGGGCAATTCTAAGGGTGAAAAAAAAAATAAGAAAGTGTTTAATTTAGATGAGATAATCTCGCACAAATAAAAATTACCGTAAACATTTCTGGGGCAACTGGCATTAGCGCCCAATCACAGCAGCGGTCTAGTCAGTGTACCTTATCTGGCTGGCTAGTTTTATTTTAGCAATTTGACTGAGCGGCATTACGATAACCGAGGGAAAGTAGACCAGCACCTTGAAGTGTGCTTTCGGCTTAATATTCAGCCCAGTGCTTATGATTTTTGGCATATTTTTTTCCCAGACTTAAAACATGACATCAGATGCTTTGACGGCATTATGTAAAGCCAGATCGTACAGACGGTCCCGCCGCCACTCCGAAGAGCGATAATAGTTCATCATAAATGAACATTTAACCACATGTACGAGCCAAGTATAACGTCAACTGCATATATCTTATCAGAAGCCTTCAACTGTTCCATAAAATTGTAAAGTTCTCCGCCTCAGATACACAAAAAAGGGGTGAATTGAACAGACCTCAAAATTAAACTGACCTTCCACTTTGACAAGTATTTTTAACAATAAATATTGCAACTGCTTCATTGTCATGTTGGAAACCTGCTTCGTGCTGAATTTGGCAAATTTGACTTTTTTTAATGTGGAAAAAGGTCAATTTGAAACAAATTGGTAACTTTTTTTAGCCCTTTGGTGACGGCCGGACAGCAGCGAAAAGACCGCATTTTTCACCAACGTCTCATTAGCATAAGAATGGCTAAAAAATGAGTTTTTCAAAAAAAAAAACACATGTTTTCCGACTAATCTGGCGTAATTAAGCAGCCTTTTTTTATTTTTCACACATGCGCAAAAGCCAAAATTTTGACTTTTTTTTTTTTCGAATCTATTTCCATCTTTTTCTCTTGCTCTCCTTTTTTCCTCTGCCTTTCTTCTTTATTAGCAGCTTCGTTGCCCACTTTATCGTCTTTGTTTTTGCATGGAATGGTGGCTGGCTAATTTTTTGGAAAGGGAAAAATTCAATTTTCAAATAGTAGTATGCAAACAGCGAAATTGGAAATGGATTTTTCCCCAAAATGTTACCTTTTTTTGCGAGTGTAACTCTGTCAGGATTGGTCAGGATATCCAAAACGAGGTATCCCTGGAAAGATTTGTCTTTGCTGACGTTGTTGCTTACCATTTTATTAACTTAAACTGAAACAAGTTTTATAAGTTATAATATCTTAACTTGAAATAAACTTGTTGTTGTTGTTGCGTTGAAAGTAAAAGAGGTCCAGGAAGGAAAATATGCATCGTTCCATATGGAACGAAAACGACTAACGCAGTCGTCGAAGGGTTAATAGTGAACTTACGCAACAGGACGGGAGAGGAAAGAAGACGGCAAACCTTGTGTGACAAGCGTGACAATAATTTTATTTGAAACAACTTTTCGCCAAACTTCACTTTCCTTTAAACAGATCTTTTTGTAAAGGAGCAGAAAACCTTGGTGTTAAGTGAAGATCACGACAAAACCCACAAGTGATAGCCCTGTCACGTTTGTCACACACAGCTGTTTTGCCGTCCTCTTCTTCCTGCCGTCCTGTTGCGTAAACTCACTAATTACTATACGGCTACAATAGTACGCGCGCTCTGATTGGCTGTTTTCTTGTAATGACCGGGCATTACTAGCTACGTGTCCAAAGCATATACAATCTGTGTTTAACTTGATAGTGGATATCCCAATGGACGTATACTTCGTTTTCACTGTCACGCAGCAAAAAACAACAACTGAGCTGGAAACCGTCTAGTGGAAGAAGCCAAGAAAATGAAATGTTATAAAAGACTAACATATAAACAATCTGTCCAAGTCTCAGGTCTTTGTAGCCCATAGTTTCTGAGTTACTTGCCGAAACGTTTCACGCACCTTTGTAGAGCTTTGTATATATGGAGACGCCATATTGGGGTGTACCGTTTTGGTGCACCAATATAGCCGCCGGAAATCAACAAAACATCTGGAGTTCACTTTTTCTATAAAAGCTCTTCCTTTTCACTCGGGAACTAGCGTACCTCTAAGACTTGAAACTGTTATACTGCTGAAAATCAAGAGCAGAGACTTTTTTAACGAGACAGCATTCCTATTTTGGAGTCACGCACTTTGAAACTGCTGTATTATCGAAATGAAATATGCTACGGGAATGTAAACTTGTACAAAGATTTACCTTTTGTTTATCTTCAACCTAGCGTATTAAATAAGAATTCGTAAAACCTCGCCATTTTGACTTTACTTCACGGTGAAAACCATCTATATGTTATGGTCACTGACCAGTGTCATCTGACTGTATCGCGGCCTCAAGTTTACAACTCGCTGAGTTGACGTCGCGGTTGTTTTAAAGTTATCCACTCACCATGTGTTGGTTATAATTGGTCGCAGGCTCAGGTCCACAATGAAAAGATCATATAATAAATAACTTATTAACCTCGTCTGTTTGGTCTTTACAGGGAAATCTCAGACCGAGACCTTGATGTATTGACCAAGCGATCCCAAGCGATAGGGACGTTTCATATCCAGGACTTATAATCTAAATTAAAGAAATCGCTCCAGTTGATAAAAAAATCGTAAAATCGGAAAGAATGATACCATGATAAAATCTGAAAAAGTGAAATGAAAGACTTCTACCCTTTGAGTTTTAACCTTCTAACTGCGTTTTAAAAGTCGTTTATTTAGTAAAGTTAGCTGTCCAGGAAAAAAGTTTTGGTGATCGTAAATCAGCAGGCACGTAAATAACATAAGACGCCATAATCAACCATTGCTAAATGAAAAAACCGTTAAATAATTATTCTAAACGTATTTTCGTTTAGGTCTTTTAGGAACAGAAGGTTCGTAGAACGAAAATACTGCTCTGTTCTGCTCTGTACCTTAGATGTAAAGTTTCCTTAAAGAGTTTTTCGCGCCTTAAATCAGTATGACGTCACCGAAAAACCCGTTGGTCGCGTCATTTGTGCTGTGCTTAGGCGAAACGTTTTTGGATAAAAGTACTTCATTAGCTTGCAATCATTTCTGCGTATAAAGAAGGCAATAATGACAGTTGAAACAACTGAGACATTTCCGATAACTCCTAGAGGTAAGTTAAGAAGTTGTTTTAACAAACCTTTTTAGGTCGTGCTTGATTGTGCTTTTTTCTCCGTTGTATCAAACTGATGAAAGAAACTTTACACTTTAAAGGTTCACCTAAATAGCGTATTCATTTTAATTTCCCAGAATTGCCAACGTTTGAAGCACATCAAGAGCAAGACAAAAGCAAGGCCGAGCTTGGTTTAACTGAAGAACAGGTGGAAACGTTGAAACAAGTTAGTTCACTTGTGGGAATGTTTCAACAAGAAGCCTTGAACGAGAAACAGACGCGGTTGTTAGCCCAACTAAAAGCTCTCGAAAAGGTTTGTGCGTTGTTTTTTTTTTTGCTACCTGTAATACCGCAACACATAAGCTTTATAGTAATGTCTTGTCGGATTTAAGGCACTAAATATTACTGAAAGTGCATGCATGATTTGCGCTATTTTGAGTTTTTTCAATTTTTAAACGTTGGGTTTACATGGAGAAATTTTGGTCCTCGTGGTACCCAAATATAGAATGTTTGAGAAGGAATTAACAGTGGCGGGCGACAAAAACGAACATACGATTTGGGCCCTTCTGCTCTCTTTACTCGCGTTAACAACCTCCTTTCAGCAGAATTATCACAATAATCAGCTCGTGGTAACGCCAAACGAAATGATCGGCCTTTATTGCCGTGATTAGCCACTGAACGACCCGCCGCTATTTTTGTCTGTTTTTTCCCTAGTACTAGGATCTTACTAGCGAAGGCAGTTTACATGGTGCTAGGATCTTCCTACTTGTCAGCTAAGAAGATCCTACTACCAGGAAGATCCCAGCTCTAGGAGCAAGTACAACCCTTCGCATGTAAACTGAATACATAAAACATATGGCGCTAGGATGATCCGCCTTCTAGGATCTTCCTGGTACTAGGATCTTCCTCCCTTCATGTTAACAGCGGTTATGATTATAAATGAGCCTATCATAAGCTTACGTTCATTTCCGTTTTTCGCGGATTTGCAGGACAGATTGGCAACCGACGCTTGGAAAATTATTGCTGCTCTCAAAAAAGAAAAGGGCGACCTTGAGGCAAGTATAAACACATCAAAATTAATACCAACCTTTATTTGAATGCCTTTTACATGTTATAAGAACGTTTCAGTAGGATTATATATAAGAAACTAATTTTTATCAAATCTAGACTCAAGTTGAGAGACTTAAAGCTCAAAACAGCAAGCTCAATACAGAAAGCTTTCTTTCGCGGAGACATAGTAGCAGGTAAACCAATTTAAGCTTATGTCATGTACATATGTATCTTAACTTCCATTAAGAGGAGCAAACCAACACCAATAACGGGATCTATACCATGACTGTAGTATAAATTCCCAATCATTTTAATATTAATTGATAACTTACCTGTTAAATATTGTGAAATTCTAGGCTTTCAGGCAACACTCGCGAAGTTCTGATTGAAAGCAACAATAGATTTAAAGGTAAGAAATTAGATGTCTAGATACTAACCCTTCCTAACCTTTTACGTTAGACTCAGAATTTCCCAAAATTTTGCAGCATTGGTAGCAATGAAACTTTTCGGGACAAATGGTTGTTTTCAGGTTCTCTTTCAACAGTTTTATAGGTTGCGTAACTGAATCAGAGTTATGATTCATTTTTTAAAAACATTGACATTTGGCTACTTCTTGGGTCTCCATTGAGAAAATTAGTTTAACTGCTCTGATATAAATACTTCAAAAGTTCATTAAAAGAAATTTGATAACAATTTTCTTCTTTCTAGATGAGCTAAGTAAGCTGTTTTGTAAAATCTCTACTGTGCGCACAACTCAAGGTCATCTAGGTGATAAGGAAATGAAGGAACAGCAAAGAGAGGTTAAAGAATGTTTTTATATGTATTTGTGAATATCAAGATGATTTCATACACTCCGATAAATGGCATGCAGAAATTCATTGAAAAATTTGTTGGTTAGAACACCCGCCCGCCTCCACTCTTCTCTAGATTCTGATTGTAAGATATGGTACCCGAAAAGTTGACAGAACTCTCCGGAAACGAGAGCTGACCATCCCAATAAGGGATTTTACTATCTAACCTTACTTTATCCCTGCTACAATACACTACAAATGATCTAAGGAATTTCCACGAAGCACAGAAGATCACTTTTCTTGTGCTCCTATTCGAAATTTTAGTGTTATCAAACTTGCATAAGTTAACGATGCTGTAGCAATGCCTTTGGATGTCAATTCACAGCTAAAAGATGTTGTAGATACTGTCCCATTGAGTACAAGCAGTAACAAGGAAACATCGAAAACTGTGGACACAAGGTGATACACTAGGTTAATATGTGTTGGTCAGTTTTTACTTTTCCTATGAGTAAACTCTCGTGTTTATATTTATTTAATAAAAAAAATAGCGTGATTTACAACCCAGCGGCAAGTAGTATAGCTTAATTCAGGCTGATAGAGCTCAGCGACTGTTAATAAGTACATTTTTCCTGGCTTTGTAGAAACCAAGATGTTATTCATCAAGAGAATGATTCGGCTCAGGATTCACCCGTCACACCTCCTCGAGGTAATTTTTTCTGTTGTTTTATTCCTACCTTTATTACAGAACACCCTATCTAGGGTATTTGATGGGTATAAGCTTCCCTCCCAAAATGCCCAGCTTCCCCCACAAAGACCCACAAGTATATTGTTATCATTACACTATATAAGTAACTACAGTCCACTCCCGATGATACGAACCTTCAAGGGAAAGAGAAAATAGTTCGAGTTACCGGGAGTTCGAGTTATCGAGGGTAAAATTATACCGAAAGCGATCTGAAGGGAAACGTAAATTGCTTCGAGTTAGCAGGAGGTTAGAGTTATAGAGGGTTCGAGTTACGGGGATTCGACTGTATATTGGAAAAATTATTCAGACGCGACGAGTTCAGCGCACATGAACTAAGTATTCCCTGTCTAAGGACAATATATGACAAGGAATATGATCACGACTAAAAAATAAAATAAAATACCACTGTAACATCTCTCAAAATTGTGTCTCAAAATGCACCAGATTCCATCTCAGCGCATATTAATTTCAAAAAATTTCCATGCCCCCGGATCCCACTAGAAAGCCCGTAGCCTTCGGCCACTCGGGACTTTCCTCCAAACGATAAACCCTAGATAGAACCCTGCCGTATAAAACATATCCCCTAGCAAGGCTAGTCAAACTGGCTCAAAGTACATAATAGGGCAATTAAGACGTAAACTGCCACCATTTACACTGGCATGTCTTACATAAAGATGCGCTTACCTTGGACGCACACATGTGTGAGTGTTGCTATTGGTTACCGCAATCCAACAAATTAAATCCAGCTTGATACCTAATAGAACGACGCATTCGTCTAACGTAAGACGAGAAGGTCATCTTTACGAGGTTTTCTTCGTCTTAGCTAAGATGGGCTTTATCTAAAAACTGGCGTTACGGGCTGTTCTCCGTTTATACGCGAAGTTCGCGTCTAATGTAAAGGTGGATTTCCACTGTCGTGTAATTTTTACGTGCGTACGCATAAAGTAGAGGCAATGTATGGAAGGTCGTGCATAAACGTTAAAGTTGAACCTCGCTCAACTTCTGCGTTTACGGACGGCCTTTCGTACATTGTCTCTATTTTATTTACGCACGTAAAATTTAACGTATTTTACTTGACAGTAGAAATCCACCTTAAGACGGGTCATATTTTCCCGCGTGTAAATGGTCGTACAGGTCTTACCTATTCAACAGCAACAAACCTGTACCAAATTGCGTTGGGGTCTTTTGTTGACCTCCATCAGTATAGCTTAGACTCAAGATACAAAGACGGCAGACTGACTGATCCAAATTGAAGTACTGTAGTCATCATGGTCAAAATAGAAATCTAAACAGTGAGATGGTAAATAAATAAATGAATAAATAAATAAATAAATAAATAAATGAATAAACAATTGCCACATATTTCCGTTTCTGGTTTGAAACTTCTTGCTGTATCACCTTCACAAATAATTACGCAGCTGACTCAAGGACAAAATAAATCAGAGGTGAATTAATAAGTTCATCAATAAACGTCCCTGAAAATACTTCCTGTTAGTTTCTTGAGCTCTGAAGCTGGTGGTTTAAACAACCGATTTTTTGGCGCATTTTCTCTTATGACGAAGGCTGAGATTTCGCTGCATATAGGCCATGAAAGGTAGTATTCCCCGGGCTATCAATAAGAAGACCCAATGGGACTATCATTTTGGCTTCTTGTATCATCGTCCTTTTCTTTATACGCTTTTTAAACTGTTCTTGTCGCTGCCTTCTGGTGCAAATCTTAACATCGTTCGCAATAAACAACGTTCAGGTTCTTGGTCAAACTGAAAATGGGTCAAAATGCGGTGTTAAAAGCATTGGCCTAGTTCAGTCTTTTTACTGAACCTGTCTATGGGTAATAACTAGTAACTACGATCGCCTAAAAGTCAGTCTTACGTGTTATTATCGGAAGGAACAAAGATGGGGATTAGATTTTACATTGCGGATCACGTATTGGTTGCTTTTTTAAATGTTGCAGAATTTCGCGATCCAGTTGCTGGAGTATGTGGTCTGGAGAATCTTGGTAACACTTGTTTTGTGAATGCTGGCTTGCAGTGTCTCTTCAGTGTAGCCCCATTCTGCCGATTCTTTTTAGGTTTGTGTTCTTTGACTTCCCTGCCTGAGCTAAGTGTAGCTAAGTGTTGTTTAACTTGACGAAACATTTGCAGACATTTTACTTCCTTTATTGTTTAGGTGGGGGTCACAACACAGTAACTCATAAAAGCCCTAAAGAAAATCAGGTAAAACTAAAGTTAAAATCTTTCAAACTTTAGAGACGATCAGTACATTCATCGTATTATGCTGTTGACTTTTGTTGCCAATCCTCCTCTCTTTTTCGATACTCTGAAGTGTTTCGAGAAATTCTTCAGTATTACCAAGTTGCGTTGCTAAATCTTCCACAACATACCTCTACGTCGTTATGTGTAGGATCGGTGGTCTTAACTCCTAGCATGTCGGCGTTCTGAAAATAGTCTCTTCTGCCCGGTCGTCCGGTACAAGTAGATTTTCATGCAGTGGGACAAGTAAGTTTTTTGAGCTCAATGCCCAGTGGTCAAAGGTCCGTGAACAAGTCATCTCGTGTAACTAGATTACCTACTAAGCAAGCAATGGTCTCTGGGAAAGGAAAATGCGAGACCTACTTTTCCAAAGAAGAGGCTGCAATTAAACTTTTTCCAAGCTCTGGACATCTATCCCTTTGCCACTACATTAAAAGTACAAGTTGAAGTGGTTTCTTTGTTATCTTTGGTTTCAGGTTTCTTTGAGTAAGCACTTGGCTGATTTAGTTAAGAAGGTTTGGAGTGGGTGCTATCTACAGTGTGATCCTAGTGAGCTATATAAAGCAATAACTGCGCACTTCCCTACTCAGCTTAACAGGCAGAGACAGGTGACAGAAAAGTCCATAATATTCTCTGTCTTTTTTTCAGGGGGGAGGGAAGGATGCAGTACTTCTATTTTTATACTCCATATCTATCAAAAATGTTTTACAGGAAATTATTTCTATTAGGAAGAGTTGTTCTTGTTTTTTCAGCATGACTGTCATGAATTTCTTGCACTATTTCTTGATGGACTTCACCGGGAACTCAACTGTTCAACCTTACCATCGTTATTTCCTGACCAGTCTGATAACAACGTTAGTGCAGAAGAGAAGTGGAGGTAAGATGAGGTATTCATTAACTCATTCCAACCCTATAGGTGCCTTTACACTCAACAGTAAATGGTAAATCCTTGCAAACTGAATTGCAGTCGTACAAGCGCTACGAATTTTTTAGTAGTGAACGGTCATTCACCCCCCAACCTAAATATGAACAACTTTTAAACCAAAGTCCTTCAGTATGTAACACACACATCATATTAGAAACACCTTAAAAAAAGCTGAATAAAGTGCCGTGGAATTCGTGTAACTCGGCTTTATGCAACTTGTTTAATGCTTATTGTTGTGACTTTGCACTAAAAAAACACAAGTTTTAACAGCTTCGCAAAGTTTTAGTTCTATAGTTAGAATAAGTCTAAGGATGGATTTCTAACTTTCGCGTAATTTTTACGTGCGTACGCGCGTAAACTGTACCGTGACATGCCTTAATGAAATAGGGGCGATATATGAAAGGCTTCGTGTAAAACGTAAAAGTTGAACGAGGTTTAACTTTTACGTTTACACACGACCGTCCATGCATTACCTCTACTTTAATTACGCGCGTTTTTAGATCAACCTTAAGGCATAGTATACTGTAAATCACTGGCCTTATACAACTTCGTCAGGTGTTTCAGAGAGCTTATAATTAGGGGGCTTATAACCGGACTAAGAAAATAACGTTTGAAAACAAGCTACTTAGAATTGCTGGTCAAAATACGAATTCATTTCAATACAAGCTAGAGGGGGCTTATAACCGGATGTATTTTTTGTCTTCGAAGTAGATAGATAGATAGATAGTTTATTAGAAAATAATAAATAGGCAGCCAGAGGCCGAATTGCGTATTTACAAATGAAACTAAGCTAAAAATAGAATAATTTACAATACATCAATATTAAAAATATTAAAAATTCATGGATATAATATATAAAAGCATTCAAACCGAATCATTTAATTGTACTTTAGACAGGATGACAAAATAAAAGTGTTCTCAAAAATGTCTTCACGTAGATGGGCCTATAAATAGCAGGCTTATAAGCGGGAGTTTACGGTATTTTTACAAAGAAAATATAGGTAGAGAAGGGTGACTGAAAAATTAATTTGCCAGTTTCTGCTCGCGTAACCTCTCAAAATGAAGAGAAAAAAGTATTGCAATTTGTTTGTTCAGCCATTCATACAATAACGATATTTTCAGACAATACACGATGAGCAATGAATCTCTTATTGTGGATACTTTTCAAGGGCAACTTCAGAGCAAGGTGAGTCTTCTGCGGGTCACGGTCCAAAGCTGTTCATATATGTCGTACAATACTACCCTCTCAATACGTTTATTCAGTTTGGCTTTGAAGAATTGCAAAGTACATCACTAATAAATAGATTTAGCTAAGGCTAAAGGCGAAGCTTCCGTTAATAATCTACTGCACACAATAAACTTGTAACTACAGTGGAAGCTCTCGTGAGTGGATACCCTCTTGACGCAAAAAGGTGTCCGTAACTGGGGCTGGCCGTTGACGGGAATGTAAATATACAGAATTTGCATGGGAGTTAGGAAAAACGAGGTTTTGTGAAGTAGAGCTGTCCGCTTCCTGAGTGTCCATTTGGAGAACCTCTACCTGTATTACAAAGAAATCCGCCTGGAGTTGAGCCTGCGATTAGTTGAAAAATAATAACTTATCAGCGGATAACATAACAAAACTCGCCTCGATATGTCGACATCTGAAACCGCGATACAGTCATATGATACTGGTCAGTGGGTATGAATTGACCAAAAACATGGATGTGCAATATCAGGTTGTAGGCTCCCACAGTAGACAGAAGGTGTGACATTTTACATCGGATGCCCTGTGGTGCGGACGGACAGATGGACGTACGGTCAAGTGACTACCAAAATTTCTCGGATATTTACTTTGCTTTGCGGTGCTGCGTTCGCGTGCGCACCGTAGATAGCAACGGTAGCATAGATAGCACCGCTATCATTTCTCAAGTGCATTTCCATCAACTTATGTTTGGATCCACTTTTGTCTTCTCAGGTCACTTGTTCCAACTGCAACCACGAATCAGTTAAATATCAGCCGTTTACTTTTCTTTCTGTTCCAATCTTGAGTGAATCATATCACACATTTGGTAAATATAGTTATTTTAATCTAGATCTCTCAAACCGCCAGTGTTTTAAGTGACTGGGGTTTCAATAATATAAAAACATTTCAATCATAAGTTCACCCTTCCTTAATATCAGCTCCAGGAGCCGATCGGCTCTTGACAGCTCTAAGAAGTACATTTAGAGCCCACGGAGTATTTTCTTAAGATAAAATGCTAAAATGATCAAATGACTGTTAAGGCGTATATGTCTATGTCTTGGGATAAGATAGTGAAGAATTGATGAATAATTAACCTATGTATTTATTTTGTTTTTCTTAGTTGTCACATGGGTTTACAGCTACACTCCAAACACAAGTCACGGAAACACGCTGTCAGCAGTCAGGTATGTTTTACTCTCAAACTAAGCAGAAGCGTGCTATCATTCTTGCTCCAAAAGTGCGTTCTGTAAATATATCAGAGGTGTAATTTAACCAAATCCACTCGTTGGTTAGTGTGGAGCTTAACATTATTTAGCAATAGGAAAGAACCTCTGGTACCCAGTGTCAGTACTGGCCTAGGCTGCCAATTTAAAAATAAAGTTGCCTGTTTCAGGCTCTCAGATAGTAGGGATAACGCTAGCCTGCGATCATACCCTCTCCCTTTGTCTCTGTAATCTGTTTTCTGTTTTCCTTCTTGAGCCAAAGAAGCAGAGAAGCAAAAAAAAACCGCCTGATCTCGTCTCGGGTTAGAATTTTCGGAACATTTGTTGTAAAATTTCTTGCTTGCCTGCCTCTCCTATGATTTTCGAACATCAAAAAAATGGTATAATTGCCTATTTTTAACGGATTTTTACCCTAAAAAGGTCACCTAGAATTTTCGGGAGCCTTTTTTCTGGCTGAAATTTTCGAAAAGGTAAGTTTTGATCCCTATAATTTTCGAATCACTAGGCTTTCAGCTAGGAAATCCNAAAAAACTTCTCATGTCTCTCATAACAAACTAAACTACAAAAGATATAGTACATTTTAAGTGCACGTTTAGTATCCTCAAAGGTCATTTCGGGCACTTTTACATGAAAAAAATATCTTGAAAGCTACTCCTACAGAAAGGTTATCATACAAATTTTCAATCTCCACCTTATGTGCTATCAATTCGCAGCAATCATCCTTTGTCCCTCGAATTGGTACCAAAATCAGGATTGGCCCATGGACTAATCTTAGTGAACTCACTTTTTTGCGGTTGTTTCATGGGATCCCATGAAAGGAAAAGGTAAAGTGATAAACTAAAATACATTTTGTTTTCTGTCGTAGATATAAAGTCCAAGTGACCAAACCAAGCACCGTTCTTAAATTAAAAAGCAACTTCCTTTCCCTGCTCACAGCTGAGAAGGAGACGCCACAACTAAAAGACATCGTGGTGTGCGTGGTGAGAAACAGCCAAATAATCTCGATCATGGTAAGTCCGTTTGCTGCTTAAAACATCCGTTTTGTGAGTTCTGTGCAGTTCAGAAGGTTTTACGGTTATCTTCGTGAATTGGCAAGGAAAAAACCGCTTGAATAATCTAACTTAATCTTCATTTTTTTTCTTTTACGACTGAAGGAGGACGGGCAACAATTAACACCATTTACCGACCGTCGCAGTAAATTGTATATAGTTAAACCTTGCCAGGTACCCGAGTCTCCTTATGTGCAAGAAGACGAAAAAAGCACCTCATTTTCCTGCCTCGCGGGGAGAGACTCCACCGTGTTCTATTCACCTGACGTTGCCAACACCACAGAATTTATGTCAGCACTTGATGAACTTCAAAGTGTGTCTTCACCAGTGAGTAAAAACCATCTTACCAGACTGGTGAACCCTGATACCAGCACTCCAAAGACACCCAGACAGAGAACACGTGCATCAATATCAACCGTATATCACTTAAGTGGCACATGCTGTATCTGTTTGGAGGAAAAATTATCAGATAAAGAACTCATTTCACACGACAAGTGCGGAAGTTTGTTTTGTCGCCAGTGTCTACAGGTAGGTGCAAACCAACCTTGGAATTGTTGAATGATGAGTTTAAAATTCATGACATTGCCTCCAGATCGTGGTGTCATGTAAGATGATGAGATCACATGCTGAAAAAAAAAAGGAGCAACAGAGCATTCGTAACAGAGGATTCGGATAAAATATCTGCCTACCCCTTCCATGATCGTTCACGTTATATGCAAAATTCTTCAGATGTGCGTGGTACTAAGTACGGTTAAATCAATATTGTGATTACCGGCGGAAGAAATTTTTGCACAAAAGACCTGGGGCCGGTTGCTCGAAGCCTGGTAAGCGCTAACCGTTGGTTAAGAGGTATCAAAATGTATAGGTTTCCATGGTATTTAACGCTGGTTAGCACTAACCATGCTTCGAGCAACCCGGGCCAGGCCGCACTTAATTATTCTTTTAAATTTAATTTTTAAACATTTTTGAGACTGGATTGCAGAGAGATTGACCATGGTGCAAGAAGATATATTTATGAGCATGAAAATTTGTCTTTTGTGGCAGGATGCTGTGGGTGGTGCTGTTGAGAATCATTTGTGTTGCCCGGTAAGTGCCGTGCAAATTCTACAATGCACCACGTACGACTCGTCTGCGTGGTGGTAGTTGGGTTGTATTTCCATAGGTTCTTTCTTGTGACGCCCACAGCATGGTTGTCTTACTTGTTCCTAATTGCCAGATGACAAGAATCACATATTAAATTAAATTATTAAATTAATTTTATTTAAGCTCGATAGCGTGAGGAGTGGTTGCCCAATCTCCCGAGCCCGGGGCTAATGTATTAAACGCTCGAGCATTCCGGATCGAATTGGAACTTAGAAATGTTGGTTTTTGCGGAGAGGGGAAAACCGGAGTACCCAGAGAAAAACCTCTCGGAGCAGAGAAGAGAACCAACAACAAACTCAACCCACATATGACGTCGAGTCCGGGAATCGAACCCGGGCTTTATTGGTGGAAGGCGAGTGCTCTCACCACTGCGCCATCCCTGCTCCCCTATTGGGTTGATCTTTTTGGTAGGCACTTTGCAATAAATGCTTTTTTTACTGACGAAGCATTCCTTGCTTTGACGTCTAAAAGTCTTGAAAAATGAGTAGGTTTAGATGACCTTCTACGAGGTGTTGGCCTTTTTGTACTTAAGTTCAAATAAAACGACTATCCAACTACCAAGTCAAAATTTCACCCCTAGCAGAAATATATTCTCAGTTCACCAATGATAACATTTTAGATGAAAGGCTCTTATTAAATGTGGTATTTTTACCCTTTAATCGGAGTGTGCCAGTCGTGGAAGCCGATTGATCTTTGAATGCTTAGGAACTGCCACCATTGCTGGCCATATTACGAAACTTCGATGATAACGAGTTTTTCACTTGTGTTTGTTGGAACGTATTGTTTACTCCGACAGAGATGCGCTAAACAAGCAGCAGTCACTCTGCCGCGGCGTGAACTGGAACCCGATAAACCCACGAGGTATTATTATTCAATTGTGTACGCCCAGTTCCTTAGAGATGAAAAGAAACAAATTTATATCTTACAGGATCATGTACCCCAATCAATCAATCAATCAATCGAAATTTTCTATATTTTAAAACAGTTTTATGTTAGCACGTACGTATTTAGCTCACTAGACGTTACGTGGATAAATAAAATGATCTACCTGAATCTTACTTTGTTATAACGCTCTTCAAACTGCAAAATCCAAAACGGTCTATTCCAAATTAAACCCAATCAAGAAAGTTTCCCGCAGCTGCTTCAGCCATGAAAAGACAAATCAATCAGCTTTTTGTAAAATTTTAGCTTCGCCATAAATTTTTTTTAAGGGAGTTTAGGAGTGCAAAGATGAACTTCGTCAAATCAGTTAACTTCGTGGAGAAATCTCAATGGCTGTTGATGGTCAATTTGGTGAAACTTTGTATTCTTTGATGGTTAGCATTTGTTTTTTATGTATCTTGTTTCTTTGGGTTTTTTTCCTTTTTTCCAGCTCCTCATCAAGAAAAAGCTCAGTATATCAGGGGCGGATCCAGGATTTTTCTTAGGAGGGGGTGCACCACTAACTGACCGATGACGTGAAAAATTTTAAAAGCGAATACGAAGAAGAGGGCTTTTGACTAGGAAATAACATAATGTGAACTACTGAGAATACATATCAAACGATAGAGCAGATTTTGTATGTCTGTCAAGCGACTGCACAGTGTTAATTAGAAAGCGGCCGCAGGTCATCCCAGGGGGGGGTGCGCACCCCCTGCACCCTCCCCCTGGATCCGCCCCTGTATATATTCCTTTATTTGTTTCTCACCACTGATGTGAGAAAAACCAGCAAAGCGACGATATCAAAGAATTACTTCAAATTGACCTTTTTATGTTTTAATGCGCGCGTTGTGTTGTGATTGTAGGATGATTCTTGTTCCAGTTGTCTTAAGGAGGTTCGAGGAGGATTCTAAGGTATTTAGATTGATCCTAAACCTAATCTTGTTATCAGGAAACATGGGTAGTTGGTTATATTGTGATAACAGCAGTACATTAAACGTCCCGTTTATATGGCTTCCGGTCAAAAATGTCTACTTAACAGGGTAACACGAAGAAAGACTACGAACTACTCTTATTCTTTTAAAGACGTTTAAAACTAACTTTTGGAGAGCTTGTCTCATTTGAGCTGAAAATATAGAAAACAGCTTGTTGCATGCCGAAAAGGAATGACTTTTATCTCTCTCTAGTATATAAATTTTTCTTTACTTGATAATACTAACAAGAATATTTCCCAGTTTGTAATGCTTTTATCTGACCACATAAGTCGCAGATTTTACTAAATAATGCATTAGATTTAAGGGGGTACATCTATTCGTTGTCTCGTATGTACCAGATGTTCCACTTTCAGCTCTTCTATATCCGAATGAATTGTTTCCGTTGCAATGTAATTTGTGGTTATACGTCCAGGTTGGAAAGAAACCATTTACCTGCATTCCCTAGCACTTGTTGCTATAACTCTGTAGACCAGTTGGAAAGAGATTTTGCTTGCTTTATGGCAGTTATAACTCTATTGCTAGAGTAATGATTGTTCCTTTGTTCGTGTACTTGACAGTCTCGTTACATTAAATAACAGACGGATTATGTTTATTTTAGACAAAGAGGCTATTTGGACATCCTAACCTGATAATAGTATCCAAGAACTTTCGTGGAAAAGATTTGTACGCATTCGTAGAAAAAATGTTACCTGAGCCAATAAGACAAGAGCAGGATTCAGCCTCACTTCCGGCTTTTACTTTGCATCTAGTAGAGCAACAGGTGAGTGGTGCGTTTATTCAAGGCGCCCTAGAAGAGATTTTCAGTAGCACTCAGGGTATTGTAACATTCTCCTTACGTTAATATGACGTTGATACAGCTACTTAAGCAATTTTTGCACACATAATTGCAGCCAAAATATACGGCATTTTGTATATATGTATTTAATAAAAGAAAGAATTTTATTTTTTTATGTAGCTAAAGCAAAATAAAGTTACAGATGGAGTTATCCATCTGTAACTACGTTACGTGAATTTTGCAAAAACTGTTAGTAATCTATATTTCAATGTTTTCACTATATTAAGATAATCTATACACTCATTCATAGGGACGGCACTGTTCACGCTGTACAAGAATAACTGGCTGTGGTGGTTGCCAAGTGAATAAGGAGGCCATTCTTAATCTCCAGACATGTGACAATCTAGCGGTGCAACTAAAAACCATTGGTCGCTGGGAGGCAGAAAGGGTGAGGAGAGCATTAAAACTGGTACCAACGCATATCAGCAGCCGTTATTATGGTACTGTAAGAAGCACATAACACAAATGCATTCGACAACAGAAGGAATATTTGCCATCTCTGCACTATGGTTGTTTTCATTGCTCTTAATATCTTCTCTTGTATTTAATTGGTGAATTTCTAATTATTTACTGATCCAGTAAATTAGTAGTTCACTGCTGACAAGAACAAAACCATCTTATTTTAGTTTTTTGTGTTCTCTTTTTTTCTCTACGATTATAAAACGGTCAATACCCTTCTTCTCTGTGGAGTATTCAGTGTATTTTAAAGTCGTAAATTTTCAGTATGGCCTATCACTAATGAGAACTGGTCAGCATTAACTTGTTTCACCAAAACTTTATTAGATGAGTCGTTGTACTGAGCACGAATCAATTTGGAAACCTCGAAAAAGAGAAGATCCTCTGAAGCTGGAGCACTGCTTAAAACGGTTTGTAGAAAGGTGCGTCAGTCATGCAATCCAACACGGTGGTAAGCGAGGGCGACTTCATTATTCAATTGCTCGTTACGACTCAGTTTCTATACATAGTCCTGAGAAATTTTACTTGGCATTATAGCGGAGCCTCTGCAAGAGCGCCAAGCCGCGCCTGCTATAGAAAACGGAAACCTATACCGATGCGAGAAAATTTGGTTATGCCGTCAGCGTACACCCGTCCGCCCCGTACGCACTGGCAGGGAGGGACGAGCAGATTCTGAAAGGGAGGAACGGTGAATCCAAGACATGCAGCTTGAGTTTGTCTTGGCGAAACGTTAATCCTTTCACCTAGAGGAAGCCAATGTAGTTTTTACAGAAAAGACATTGAATTTTTTTTGTTTGACTTACGACAAAAAACTTCGGAAAATATAGTTTTAAGGATGTGCTTTTAGCTTGGTCACACTTTCCAAAGAAGCTTACATATAACTGTTCCATTCCCGGCCAGATAGAAAGAAAACATAATAAACTTATAGCGAACACAAAGGTCGGCCCGAATTTTCTTTTAGGTCTTCCCTATCAGGGAGCTTTGGTAACGACGACGGCAATGACAACGAGAAATGCAAACGTTTTTTAAGAAGAACAACAACTTTACACGTGTATCACGTGTTTCTTTGTCGTCAATGCACGATTACGACGTGAAAATGTCTAATTACACGTTTCATGGAGGACGTAAACAAGCGACGGCGAATTTTTCTCTCTCTTTCTAAACTCTAGTGCGGTCCCCAAGAAATCTATTCCTGGAGAATTCTCCTACGTTTGACATTTTCAGCGAATTGCAATGAACCCGAGAAGGTTTGAAGAAACGCGAATTCATTTTAAAAGCGACGTTTTCGCTGATGTTCCGTGACTCTAGAAATCGTAACCTGTAAATTGGCTGCCACCAAAGAGTATTGTCAATTAAAAAGATTTTTTGCTATAAGCATAAGACTCTTAGCTTAATGGTGTTTTCATTTCAGTTGTATTTATCGGATATTTTCTCTTAATCACCCAGCCCCTCCCTGTAAAAGAGTATTCTTTTTAGTAGGTTAGAGTTTATTATATTTGAGTTAATTGCTTTTATTTATAAGTATATAAACGGAGGCTTCGTTCAGTTTAGCCCTGGCTAAATCTATGTATTATGATAGTTGTCCTAGTTACTAATATATTCAAAGAAAAGAAGAGTCAGCTTAAAAGTACACTCAGGCGTTATGACTCCCAGCTTAATGTAATGTAATTTTGTTTTCTTTTGTAGCGAGAAATTACCCGACTCCTGGTTTTGTCAAAAGTGCCACGAGGAAAGAAATGCTTTTAAAGCGCTTTCTATCTGCAGATTGCCTGACACTCTTATAATTCATCTTAAAAGGTGAGTTATTTAATTATCTTGATGTACTCTAAAAAACATGACTCGAAGATTAGTCAGAAAGATTATCGCTGCAGCTGTGTCAGAGAAAGCATCTTTTTCTTTTCTTTACGCGGATGAAGTAACGAAAAGCTGGACTTTATACCTTTACTGATCATCTTTGTAGTGAAAGTTTACTGGATCATTTGGCTAAACTATACATGTCTTTTGAACAACAGGTACACTCAAAATGGTGTCAAGATTACCACTCCAGTAGAATTCCCTCTAGAAGGACTTGACGTGTGTGAATACACTCAGCTAGAAGATTGTCCACCGGAACAGTTCCTGTATGATCTGATTGGCTGTGTTTGTCATCAGGGAAGTACGTATCCTACAAATAAAATGAGGCTTTCTACAGTGCCCTTTAAATGTTAGTTGAATGAATGGCGTGAGAGTGTGAGACTGAATTAGATACTCGACCATTGTAAAAAAAAGACGTTTGCAATAAGTACGAAGCACGCAATAACGCAGGGTAATTGATCTATTTTAGGTTACTCCAGCGGTCATTACACGTCATACACCAACACAAATAAAGTCTGGTACCGATATGATGACTGCCATGTCACCAAGGTAACGGAAGGAAATGAAAACTCTCTCTACAGTTTCTGTGTTCATCTAAAGTTATCCTTGAGCTGTCTGTCCTTGGCCAAAAATTGGTATTATCCCCAAGGTTCGCGGCATTCTTATGCACCTATCAATGTTATCAAAAGTAGGTTGAGTTTGATCGTCCGGGTGAACGTAGTCCTGAATAGGACTGTTGTTGTTGACAGTTACTGACGTTTCGACAACCTGTGCTGTAGTCATCTTCAGAGTCAAAGTGAGTTGTATCACGTCAGTTGATGGTATTATACTCTGGTTATTGAAACCAATAACAATAATAATAATCAATAACCAGAGTATAATACCATCAACTGACGTGATACAACTCACTTTGACTCTGAAGTAACAGTCCTATTCAGGACTACGTTCACCCGGAAGATCAAACCCAAACTACTTTTGAAATGACTCCTGGGTTCAAACCTTTCACAGTTTTATCAATGTTATGCCGGCAGGGGTGGGGGGGGAAGCAGGGCATGGGGTGGGAATTTGATTGTCTTTGTTGGCCCTGTGGTGGGGCATTTGACTGATCTTGTCCTCCCAGGGGATGGGATATTTGAATCTTTCTTCGCCCGACGTGGAGATTTTAGACTGCCGACTCGGACGAAAAAAACTGAGACCGAACATATGTTTCTCGCTTGCACGCTTCACGCATGCGCCGTACGGTCTGGAAAACTCATGGAGGCCAACCATTCTCGTCCCCAGAGCCCGTCGTTTCTTGGTCACGTGGTAGGGAAACGAGGGGCTAGCCACTGGTCGGTTGCAAATTAAAGGTCAAATGAACCAAAATTTCGACATTTTTTATTTTAGTTCATTTCTAGTGAAATGTGTTTAATATGAACCAAATAAACATACTATGAAGTTTCAGCTCAATTGAACCACTTATCTCCGAGATATTCGCAATTAAAAATTGCTGTTTTTTGGCCCTTATCTTCGTAGAACGGTCGGAAAAATTGTCGGAAAAAACAGCTTGTGACGTCAATGTTGGTCAGGTGAAAAGGGCGGGAAGGGAAATTCAAAACAGAGTTTTTCGAGTCGACTTGGCGCAGAAGTGGTTTGTGCGGCCATAAACCTGGAAAGAACAGGCAATTTGTCTTTAAAAGTTGCAAGCTGTGGTTATAACCTTCTTATTATTTAATTTTCTCGAAGAGTACATCATAGTAAAACGGACTTTAACGACATTTACTAATTTCCTTGAGTTGTACTGGAAATGTGCGTGCGTAAGTCCGATTTTTTTCAAGATGCATTCACAAAATGTGTTCATATAAGGAAATTCCTGGATATATAAGGTCCGGAGCTCCACCGTGGACACAAATATCTGCATATCACATATTATCTGCCCAAAGAAATTCAAGTTTGTCCACAATGTGTTTGAAGTCACTGAACTTTGTCGCACTCGAGCTGATTTTAAAACCCACGCTCGATCGGACACTTCTAGCTTCGCAGATCACTAAAATATAAACAAAATCCTCAATGTAGAAGTTTTGGTGTTGATATGTTGGCAGAAAAAGAGTTAATCTTTATCTAGTAAATCTTCCCCAAGATCGGTTTCGAAGCAACCATAGTTTTTTAAACTTGATCGTTTCGCGCAGATTAATTTTGCTTTGTGTTGTCAAGTTGAACATGCATAACACCTGTTAAAAACCTACGCGTAAGTAAGATTTCCTTCAAACAAAGTTAAAGTTATATTATTGCAAAAACGTCTTTCCAATTATATATAAGATTTAATTACCGATAGAGGTCACTTTAAGGACCATAGACACTACTTTAAGCTGGCAAAGAGATGCGACAAGCAAAGAGAAATTCCATCATGCATGAAATTCAGCTTACGTGAACTAAAAAAAGCTTCAATAAGGTTGCAAAACAACAAATTTTCATCAAAAAAACATAAGGCTTAAGGCTCTTTTACCTGCTGACAACGAAGTGAGCCATGATTCCGACTACTTTGCTAGATTAGCTACGTTTTTTAGTAATAACTGGTCCATGCGAGGGTCTTCATTCAAGCAAATTAAACTCAGCAAACTGAATCATTAGAAAATACAGAAAACTGCACATAAGGATTTGTTTTGCTCGCTTCAGTCAAATCCAGCTCCAGCAACTGTTTACGCGGGCAAAGAGTCGATTGTTTTGGAGTCACTGCCGGCAGTTGTCATTCTCCGCTACTTCACAGCGAGTGAAAGGAAAATTTGCGTACAGAAAGATAACAAAACTATGTAATTAAAACCGAAAAAACTAAAGGAAAAAAACTCTGACTATTATTACTTGAGCAACAGAAAAATGATCGAAATAGTAGTTTCTTCTCGAGTAAGCTTGATGGCCTTCTAAAGTTCCAAGGAAGTTTTAAGCGCTCAAGTTTGTTCACTCGCAAGTGTTAGTATTACGATTCTTTGACATAAGACAAGGATAAAGTTGGTTCTGCAAAGGTAAGTAAATCTGGGCATGTAAAAAAGTAACCGTAACTACTAATAACAGAATACGAGCAGGTTTTAATTCAACCTGGCGAAAGAAGGCGAAGCACTGGACACAAAATCAACTCACAAATCGAATGTACAATTATCAGAAAAATACAAACCTGTTTGTAAATGTTCAAAACGTTTTATTCCACCTCAGACTGACGGAATGATCTGTTCAGTTTACTCTAACATTGGTTGTTCTGAATCCAAAGTATTTTTCAAGTGACGAAAAAACAACAACAACAACCAAAACAAAAAAAAGCCTTTACAAGGAGCAAAGGTTCGCACCTCGTGTATTTCATTCAGTCTCAGTCAGAACTCTCACAGAACGAGACAAACAAACGCAGGTGATAAGGGATGCGCAGAAGCTTGCGCAGAACGTTTTTCCCCCCTGAAAGACCAACATTGACGTCATAGTCTCCAGTCTGTCACGCGGCCATTTCAGAAACGTTTTCGTGAAGTTTTCGGAAATGCTCGGATTTTGATCTTTTATCTTTCTATAAAGGCTTGGGAAGAAAAATCTTTACCCAAATCTCACTTAGGATGGTTCTTTTTAGTGTTTGGTGAAGGTAAAGCGAGAAAAGAAAATACGTCAATTTTTTGGTTCATTTGACCTTTAAGCCGAGTGGTTCTGGGGACGAGAATGGGAGGCCAACGGGAACAAGCGAAAGCTGAGTGGATTTCACTGTTTTGTCTTCAAATTCCGTTTGTTTTAGCGTGTTTTTGATCAACTGAACCTCTTAAGATCCTGTGGTATCAAAGTAAACGGAAGTAAAGAGAAACCAAGTCGATTCTTGCAAGTACAATTGATCAGTGTATGGCTCATTCGCTACAGTCGCTGTATAAAGCTTGTAAAACTGACTTTCTTTGTACCCTTTACTAACAATGGTGTATTTAAACTTACAAAATGTGGACTTTCTCCTGAAAGGTTTCTGTATTCTACGCAGTGTAACACGGATTATGGTTAAAACGTATAATTGCAGCTGTAACAGGAACATGTATCTTTTGGTGATGCAGCAACGTTTATAAATAAAGATTGCAGAGTTTTATTTGGAGATATTTTCATTGTGCCTTTCTTGGATTCTGCCTTGGGATATTTGAAAGCTAGCCCGGGGTGGGGAAATTTGGTTGCATTTGACTGGAATGATTTGCCCGTGGGCAGGGAATTTGACGGCAAATTTTTGAAAAATGTCAAATCCCCACCCTATGCCCTGCCTCCTCCCCGCCCCGCCAGCTGGTCTGAACGTGCAAAGTAAAATGTGGACCTCGCGTTATTTCAAGAAGATACCTGAGAGTTTGTTTTATTTCTGTTAATATTATTTTATTACTGTGTTAAATCTAGGAGATGCCCAGTATCAATTGTTATAGCGAAGCATATATACTGTTCTATCAAAGAAGGTCATGTAAGTTGCTAACTGGTGTTGTTATCAATAAATAAACTAGTAAATTAATGACTTCTAAGAGCTGAGCTTTCCATGTTAGAATTAGGGTGAATGTACGGCTTATTGCCTTTACTGTTTATACCGTAACGTTTTAGATAAGCTTTGGAAAATCGTTCTCAAAATATCCGCATTTCAGCTTAGCCTATCTAAGCCAACTGTATTTTAACATTGAAAAGATCATTTATCTTTTAACATGTAAAATTACTTTCAAAGCTATTATAATAAAGTCGTGCCGGTTAACTTGGATTAGTTGGCTTGACGTACATCAGACTTACGTGGGCAAGACATACTTTCTTTCAGAAATCGAAATCTGGTATAAACGCATGCTTTTTATCTGCTAAATTGCAACAGAATCTTGTGGAACCTATAATTTCTTGCTTTCTTGCAGTGTTAACCCCTAGCGCAACAGCAAGTACAAGTCCAAGGTAAGAACACGTTTTTTTCTTCTTTCGTGGTAAACTTTTGCTGGCATTGAACTCAATTTGACTTTATCGGTTTGTTGACAACCCTTTGGCGACACAAACTTTGCTCTTTTTTCTTAAATTTCCACGACAATTTTCTCTTTTTTAATTTAAAGGGTGCTATTGACGCAGTGATCTTGTTCTATTAGCAAAGTATTCAAAATGAGCAAAATTTTCGGCGATCACAACGAAGAATTCACATTCACATATAGTAGAGCATAATCAGGGACGGAGTCCCTCTTGATTTTTTCATTTCAAAATAATGTAACTAAGGTCGTGTTCTATTGGGAAAACTCTTTTTTTGGTTGTTTTGGTCGATCATTTTTTTCAATTAGCTCAGAACTTGTTTGAAATAGTTAAAAACGATGGGTGTGTCTGCTATCTGTTAACGAACATCGATTGTGCATGGACTGTCACAAACCAAGGGTGCTTTCCAAGTCAGAACTGGCCAGCTAGACCGGTGATATTATTGAAATGAAATGTTTCGAAATAAGTCTTTTCTTGAAAGTTTTATTCAACCCATCATTGCCTTGTATAAACCATTAACAAATAATCTGATCTGGCCAGATAGTCCTGATTAATATTGGAATTCTCCTGACGACAGGGCTGGTCTGGCCAGACAGTTCTGACAATTGGAAAACGCCTTAAGCTTCATTTTGTACCTTTTATGCTTTTTAATTTTTACTGCATTCTATGGCATCACAGGTCTTTACTTTCCAGAAACTCAGAAGAAACCGATCTACCTTTATTAGAAGAAACCCAACACAACGCAGATAAAGGAGATCTTTTACAAAACCTGCAAAAGTCTGCCACTAACGCAAACGTAAACATATCCTGATTTTATTTTCTTTCTGTCATCTCTTCTTCAAATACCTTACTCGTATACCATGCAAATGTTCACTTTTCGATTTTTTCTTTGTATCAATAGTACTTCATAAGGGCGCTTTATCTTTTCTTGATAGGCAACTATGGAGGAAATTAAAGAAGAACCAGCGCAAGAGTTCACCAATGTTCAATCCTCAAACCAACAAAGTAAAGTTCATACATTTTTAGTGCTTATAATAATGGTGAATAAAGGCTCAATGGTAACCGATTTCTTTGCTTTGTTTTAGATTGCACTAAACTTCCTTCGAACGGCGGCCTTCTGATGGAACGAATCAGAAGGTAAATTTGACGAAATGTTCATTTCTGGATTAATTGTAGAGGGATGCTGATTAAAATGATAGTGCTTGCATTGCAAATCATGTGCACCTGACTCCCCGGTCCAATTCAATAAAACTTTTGCAAGTATAATTTACAAGTGTGGCTTTTGTTTTCAGACTCTCAAACAAAAAAATAGCTACTACACTTGTAAATTACAGTTGTTAAAATTTTATTAAATTGACCCCTGCATTTCCTTTGCAGGAAAAGATTGAAGGCAATGCAGCAGAAGAAGCCCAAGCAAATGAAAGGTAAACAAAACTAGTTTTATTGATTTGGGACATAAGGAAAAGTTACCCTAATCTATGTTACTGCTAGCCTGAATTTCATCCGATTACCTCTAGTCGTTATTACTCCCTCAGTAACGACGTTACTGAGGGAGTAATAACGACTAGAGGTAATCAGATGAAATTCAGGCTACCGTAAAATTCCGAAACTAAGCCCCGGGGCTTATATTTTTCAAACGCCCTTTTTGAGGGGCTTATTTTTGGAGGGGCTTATATTCGGAGGGGCTTATGTACGGAGGGAAATTTGCGTTTCAAAATCGATGAGGCTAGCTTGTAGTGGGAAGGAAATTTACCATTTTTACTTTGTTTTACTTTGTATTCGACGGCAAATTCCCAGTACAAGCCCCCCCGGGGGGCTTATATTCGGAGGGGCGATTTAACGGAAGTTTTTTTTGCTTTACGTTTTTGGGGGGCTTATATTTGGAGGGGCTTATTTTCGGAATTTTACGGTATGTTAGAATTTATTGGGAAATAACATTACAAAACTCTTACTGATGTGCATGTACTCTTACATATAAAAACTTATAAAATTTTGGGGCAAAAGACCAAAAGTTACTCTCCTTGATACCCATTGTTTAGATTTTCATCGAAAGCTATCGAATTTACTACGTTTACCCAATCTTTTCCAACTCTTATACCCAGAAACCACATGATGGGTCCAAACAATATGAAACCAAACCCAGGGACCAAATCCTTGAAGGGGCGATTAGCCCTAACTCGGGGTTAAGTTTTAATCTGGGTTTCTTTTTCTTTTGTTCAAGACTATTCTCGCGTGTCTTAATCAATACTTTAACTTGGTCTACAAGCTAAAAGCATACCAATTCATCGCAAAAAGTTAATAGTCCCATCAATAAATTCCTCAACTGATCTGTAAGACCATGGGTTAGGGTAACAAAAAATTAAGTAACACGTTATAATAATAAAATCAGTCTCTTTTGAATTGATATACATAGCAACCCACCAAGAAAAAGACTACCAAACCTCTGTCGTCTGTTCCAGTGAGGAGAATGAAGACAAAAGAGTGAGCAAATGTTATTGTAAACAGTGCGAATATCTCACGATTTTGGAGAAACAGGTATGACTAGCACTGTTCAAGGCCATGGCGCATAATCTAAGGAGGAAACTTTGACCAGTCTGTCTAGTTTAGTCAGCCCCTTGTAAACGTCTTCTTTGAAATCTGTTACAGGTGTATTGTTAATGAAAATTTTCCTTCCAGGTTTTGCCAGATTGCAAAGCCTCACGTTCGTGACCAGTGGCGCTCAGTAAATAAACATTACATTTCCTTATCCGTCCCGGTAAAAGATTGATCACATCGATTTGCTGATAGTGTGTAACACTTAGATCGAGCTCGAGATCAGTGTATTATTGAGTTTGGTTAAGTTATTTATCAGAGACGAGCGAACGATTATTAAGCCGCACGAAATTAAGGTGTAGGGGTTATGCCCCAAGGAAATCACTAAAGAAACAATTTTTTGCAGATTAAAAAAGCCAAACTTTGCACTAGTGAAGTAACTCCTTTGGAAACAGCTGAAAAGGGTAACATAGACTCAAGAAAGTCATCATTAACATCAGTGTCGCATTCGGTGAGTTCATCTCTGTCGCCATCAGCAGCAAACTCCTGTAGCAACACCTCATCATCTGAAGAAGCCACACAAGTCAATAAAAAAAAGAGAGACGATGGTCAACAAAGTAACAGGTAATATGTGCGCCGTTTTTTTTGTGGAAGGAGTATGAAAATGTAGGACTGGATCATTTTATGGTTGTTTTATTAAGCAACAATTCTTCTTACTACGTATCTTTTAGTGAACCATAATACCTAGAAGCTGCAGGGTTCACTTTGTGAAGTTCCGCCAACATCAATGGTAAAGAGAATTTAAGTAGAAAGGAAAAATTCGACCGAATCGCTCCGCCTACATTTGTGTGGTTGATTATGGGTGGTTAAATAGCGGTCACATGACCTTACTCGTTTGCTTGTAAGAATGGGTCGCTGTTGTGTCAAAATGCACCATAGGGCTGAGCCTTTGGAGGAGTTATGACTTCTTTTATTGGTTATTAAGAGATTGGCGCAGAAACTGGCTCAAAATTCGTACCTATAAAAACACGAATAACCTCCATGGTTTACTCATAATCCACTTCTAGCAAATAGATCTCTTACATTCATTTCTTTAAAGGCATAGGCGTACGGGCCGGGGGGGCGAGGGGGGCTGCAGCGCCCCCAAATTTTGGGCAACTCAGATTTTTTGGGCAGCAAGAGAAAATTTGGGCAAAGCCAGTTTTTAGAGACGTTTCCATGTGTTTTTATTATTATTGTTAGTTTGAAGAGACAAATATTTTCTATTTTAATCTGAAAAAAATCCTGATGTCGGTGTAATAATCCAGTTACATTCTCTCGTGACAGTGGTTACCTAGCACTCGAGGAATTCCTGGTTATTATTGAAGGGTATCATTTGTTGATTTACATATTTATAGTTTTTTATTGTTGAGCACTGTACTGCACTGTACTAACTGGAATGGGCTCTTTCCAGTCGTGAATTGATTAGAATAAACTTCCGCATATCTTTCTAGAATCATCTCCGCTCGTAGAACAGTGTATGGCAGATAGCATCAGCAACAGTGGGTCTGAAAATGAAGAAGTGGCTGACTAGTACTCAATCTATCAAGCAATAATTTATTAAAGTAGACCGAAATGTTTACAAAACCGTTAACAAGAGCGCCTCAATACATACTAAAGAAATCCTTTTCTCCAGCAATCGGCCGGAGCTATCTCCATGATCTTTTACACACGTTTTTAAAAAGATTCAAGCTACTATGAGAAGAAATTGCATGAAAGAGCTTCGTTTTCTACAGATTACGGCCAAACATCAAGATTTTTTTTTACCATATTTCTAACGATAAAAACTTCATCCCAAAATATCTCGGTAACGCTCTTATAGATTCCGTTTTAACTTCACGAACATCGAGGCAACTATTGCAGAAAAAATCTCCCGTGAACGATTTTGTAGGAACACGGTTCCCAGTGCCGAGAAATATTGCTACAAGTAAAATAGACAATGGCGTCATTTCGTTGCTATGACAACTCCGATGTGATTAAACAAATTTTCATCTTTATCTAATAAAACTATTGTAGCAATTTTTCCAAATGTTTGTCTATGACGACGTAGTTATGGCGACGTAGTTGGAAGGCATTGACGCTGAAAAACTGTTACAGTATCGAGCCACCTTCATATGCCAGTACGGCCTATGTTGTTGCATCGTATGGTTCTTGTTTCGTTTCTACTGGTTCGTAAAAATTTGGGCAACTTGCGAGAATTTTTTAGGCAAATGGTTTACCGCTCCCCCTGGCAAAAAGTTGCCCGTACACCTATGTTTAAATGGAGCAAATGAGGACACAATTGACACCAGCACCAATGTTACTTTTAAAGAGCGCTGCACGGGTAAACCGGAGGTTAAGGGTTTTAATTCTGAAGCAGTCTGGAGCCTTTTTCAGACATGTTAAGAGGGAGTTGCATGAATGTGATAGAAGTGGGGATTTTATAACCGTAAAAATATTTTGAAATCAAAATTCTAAAAGCAGAATTGCAGATTTTAGCTCAAAACGCAAGCCGAAAATTTTTTGTACAGTTATGTAGACTTGCATGAAGTAATTTTAATTTTAAGTGGACAAAAACCTTGTACTAGAATATTTTAAGCCATATCGCATTTTTTACACTTTTCAAGAGCTATAAATGTAGTAAGTTATATGAAATAACGCCAAAGAAAAGGTTCCTATGGGAGCCCGAGAAAATAAATTTCAAAATTCACAGGAATTGCGAAAAAGCAGGTAAAATCATCACGCGTAAGATTTCATTTTGTAAAATTTGAAGCTTTTGAAGTTTGTTTTCTTAAGCTCCCTTAAGAACCTTTTCTTTAGAGTTATTTCATAGCGGAGCTCTCATACGAGGACCATGAGTAAGAAAATTTGCTTATCTATGCATCCGAGAAATTCTGGTAATCACGTGACCGTAGTCCGCCCGTCCCCTGTGTCCGTCCGCAACACAGGAATACCAATGTAAAATAACTCAATCAATAGGTATGGCAACCCAGACTCGAGGTTTTGGCTTGAAATTGCGTGGTCTCCGGGACTTTTAGAGAAAAAAAAACATTAACAAAGCTGAGTTTTAATGTCTACACTGACGTGGATAACGGAGAAAGAGCTAGAGCGAGAGATTAAAAACAAACGAGGAGAGGTTTGTTGGAAAAACAAAATGAAAATTTTATATCGGCTGTGAAGTTCTGTGAGAAAACTAGAAATGCTAGGGGTCAGCAAGGAGAAGCCAGCAAAGTAAAAATGGGCGGCGATGAAAAAAAGAAGCGAGCAGGAACACAAGCAACAAAATCTTTGGTGAGCATGTACGACATTTTTTTCCATAAAATGATCAAAATGTGTAACTAGAAAGTTTCAAGCTGTGGTCGTGCAAAACAACAGCAAAGAAATGTACAATTAAGTGTGCTACACGTGCAAAGTTAGACTAATTAGACTAATCTATTTTTTTGCAGTTCTCGTTGCAGTCGCCATTTAGCATTGCTCGATTTTATTTTTTGTTTGAGTAAGTTATAAGTATATTAACGAGAGCTTCGCTTTAGCCCTGGCTAAATTATAATTATAAATTATAATAACAGTATAACTTAATACATTTATAGCCCTCGAAAACTGTAAAAAGATTGCCATATGATTGAAATTATTCTGGTGCAAGGTTTTTGTCCACTGAAAATTAAAATTACTCAATTTCTTGATGATTCCTTCTTAATATTTTCTTGTTTTAAAATCATTAAGTGCTGGCGAGAAAAAACTTGAAGCAGAGAAACTATCAGAGAGACTTCAATGTGCAGTAGAAAACGAGAACATCAGGTTCGTCAGTTTGTTTTCCCGCTATCATTTGTGCATTTACTTGACTGATTAATAAAAGAAGTGTTTTGTTTTTTAATATCGTCTGATATTTATTTGCGTTTGTCTTATCAGACGCGCCGTGATGTTATTAAGACGTGGTGCTGACCCTAATATCTTGGTGAACGGTTTAAGTGCTCTTCACGTTGCTGTAGGACTAGAGTCTCCTCTTAATATCCACTTCACACGCCTTCTGTTAGACTATGGTGGTAATCCAGATATTGCTTCTGCAGAAGGCCTGACACCTATTCACGTGGCTACCATGTGGAACCGTGTTAACTGCCTCAAACTTCTGATCGACAGGGGAGGAAACCCTTATGTCTTTCTGTTTCTGCCAAACTTACGTAATTGTGACCGATCTCTCAAACTCGTGCTATGTTCGCGTCTATGTAGTCTGAAGGATCATTTCGAACTGCTAGCTTAATGTTTCGTCGAATGTCTTCCAAGAAAAAGCTCACTTTCCCTGAATTCTAATGCCGCATCTGATTCGATTTCTTCTCGAGAGTCTCCTCGCCAGGGTTGCAATTTGCCAGTTACCAAAAAGGTATCCATGCGAACCTTTACTAGGAAGACATTACGAAACTTGCGGAGAGCTTCGGAGTGCTTTTGCTGTGGGTTCAGACGAATTCGCGGGCTATTTCGTAACTCTTGAAGCAATGAAAAGTAAAGTAAATCAAGAGACTAGACTATCACACAGTTATCAGAACTAAGAAATGCTGGAACTTTTGCATTTTAGTTCAGGGGAATTTTCTCAAATCAGTTTAATTCTTATGTTAATTCTAAGAAATTTTTGTATTTTAGTTTTAAAAATGTGCATTAAATTAAATGGTAGTCAATAAACGTATTTCCCCATAATGCATGTCGTCAAGATATATGCTGTATTTCAAGAAGGCGTGCAATTTCTTTTATCCTTTTTAACCCCTAGCAGACAAAAATCCAAACATTTAGTGTACGGAAATGATTCAGAACCAATTTTCTTTAAATTGAAATTTTCTAACCTTATGTAAAATAAAGTCAAATTAAAAGTTAGCGCCTTCGTATTGCTACCCTGCGAGCAGAGGCTACATTTTTTGCTGTGTAAGCTAGCGTGCGAAAAGTAGCCTCTGCCGACTACCGTTCAATTCCGTCCAGAAATGTGGACAAATTAATTAAGAAAACGGTTTTCTTCCTTTTCTTGACCGGTTTAGAACATTGCGTGAGTCTTGCGTAGCAGATCAGAGTTGTCGCATTTTTTTTCTATTCCCGTGAAACTTGCGCCATTTGACGACAGACGTGACAATTAGTTTTGCTTGCCAATCGCATCTCGATAGAAAATTGAACGGTTGTCGGCAGAGGCTAATTTTCGCACGCCAGCTCAATCGTATTGCTAAACTACTATGATGTAATTGAAATAATAAAACAGAAATTTGAATTTTTGCTCTTCAGAGGTCAGCATTTTGTGCCCTCGTATAGAGTAGAACCTACATTTTCATGCTGTGAATTGTGTACACTGTGTACAGCCTCCCCCCTGTACACAGGTTTCAGTTCATGACACCGCGAAAGTATAACTTCTGCTCGCAGGGTAGCAAAATTGTTGAACTCAACAACGAATTTTGCGTTTTTTCAGTCCATTGTTATTTTTTTTTGTAAGCAATAAAAATCTGGAGGAAGTTAAAGGGTTGTGCGGGATGTTTGAAAGAACGAAAGAGTGTTCCGGTCGCTGTCGGGTCTTGTTCGGCTGCTACGATGCTTACTCATCAAGTAAGGACGCGCTGGCCAAATAGTTTTCAAACAGTAGCAGTCAGGGGGTGTAAAAGGCAAATATGTTGAATAGTATTAATAAAAGAGCGTTTCTACCCAAGTTGCATCGGTGTGTGAAATCAAACCGTCATTGAAAAACTATCTTTCGTCAAAATTAAAACCGAGGTCGTCGCACACCAATCCTGTCGAAATTATATATACAAAAGCCTATTTCATCAGCGACGTTTACAACTTCGGCAATCAGCGATTCTAGAGCATGCATCCTATGCTACTGTATTACGTTCAAAGAATTTGTTCCATGCTTGGTTTTTTTTTGTGTGTGGTAAGCTTCGGAAACGATTAAATAATACGGTAAGGGTGAAAAAATATTAGAAGTTTGATAACCAAGACAAGATACCGGCAAGATAACGTCAGGATTTAATTTAGCAAAGCAATAGAAAACACAATCCTCCTTCAAAGGTTCTGATTTGGGCTGCATCCTAAAGTCTGAAAAGAAATTACAAAATACCGGTACATTTAGAGTTTATTGAAAGGCAATTAAAATAGACAATTTACTCGTAGTTTTAGTACCTCAGCCTTCCGGAGTGAATGTGTCACTGCGTGAGGTTGACTTTGTTTTGGTACAAACCTTCTTTGCTTTCTTATGAAAATTATGCTTGAAATATACTAGTTAGCCTAAGGACAACATGATTTGCATAAGAAAGCAGTAAGGATTGTATAAGACATGGTCAACGCCAGCCTCTTTTTCGTCGATAACTGTAAAATGGCCTTGCTTCAAGGCCGGGCTTCAAGGGTGTTGTTGTAAATAATAACAGCCAATAACATCACGGCTTAACTGACAGACGACCAATAACATCGCGACATAATTGACCAATCAGATCAATAACCAGAGTATAATACCATCAACTGACGTGATACAACTCACTTTGACTCTGAAGATGACTACCGCACAGGTTGTCGAAACGTCAGTCACTATCAACAACAACAGTCCTATTCAGGACTACGTTCACCCGGACGATCAAACTCAACCTTTTGAGATCTACATGATGTTATCACATCGTATTCGAAAACCACCGAGTTCGGTATCAACCGATCAAGCAGTTGTCATTGTTCTTTGGGGGATACCGTTCTTCTTAGTGATGAGACGAACTTCTTAGCTCTTTTTTGTATCAGTAAATCTGGCTTCTTACCGCATAATCAGTCAGTTTGGGAATTTAACTTCTCATTAACCTGGCTTCCTGTATCTTGCCCTTTGAGGCCAAGAGCATCTTCGGCAAATTTTAATAAGTTGTCATTTTCATCCTAAACAAAGATTCTTTCAGTTAGCTTTTTGTTCCGTTTTTATTGACAAAACATACGGTCTTGACTTTAAGTTAAGTTTCCAATTTCCATTCGTTTTGCGAAAAATATTCACGTTAATGACCTCAAACAAACTGCAAAGGAATAGATTGGTAATCCATTTCGTTCATACCCACAATTACTTGAAGACTAGTCTGAGTGATGTACCACCCGCATATAAACACACGACCTTGCAACTTTAGAATGATCGAGAAATTAATGAAGTCCAATATTGAGTGGATTCATTAGGTAGCACAATTTAATGTAAATCGACATTGGGTCTCGCCAGTTATTTTCGTGTGGTCGCTTCTTTTGGAGAATGGTTACTTTCGTTACAAATAAAGTTAACACGACTGAAAGCCTTTTCCGAAATAATGGAAGGAAATTGTAAGAACAGTTTTCAATTTAAAAATGACATGAAATTTATGGTTTCTGTTAATAGTAAAAAAGATCATGAAGTTTAGGGGGCTACGAGAACTGATGAAGCTCAAATAGAGCAGCCTCGTACTCAGGCCAGTTGGCGCTATCCGAGTTACTAGTGGAGGCTTGGAACAGAGTGAATGTTTCTCGAAAAATTGAATGGAAATAGGCTGAAGCTTATTCGTTCTAATTTTTGGTTTTCAATAGTCAAAAGTATATAAATGGACGCTTCGCTTTCAGACATGGCTAAACCTATATATTACTTTTAAGTCACCTCGAGTTCATAAATTTCTTTCAAGAGGGTTTTCAGTAGTGTCTGTTTCTCAGCAGTTATATCCTGGTGGACCTGAAATAAAAATTGGTGTGTTGATGTTAGTTGGTTAGAGCTTCTCCAGCTAACTTTCTACTGAGGCTGGTTGTTATTTTCCGCGACCCGCCGGCAATCAGGTCTGACTCACAATTGACGCCATCCTTCAATTGCAAGTTAAGATTTCCCAAATTTCTCTAAGAAAGCGAAATGTCAAAAATTAACATTTGCAAGCTCAACGCAGCCGCACCTTTGTTGTTTAATACGGGGCAACTCACGCGGTTCTCAATTTGAAGAAAATTATTTTCTAGCCTCTTCATGTTGTCCGCAATGTTAGACATTCTGTCAGTTGTAGCTTGAAACACGGACTTCAAACAAGGAATCATATTTAAGCTTTCTTCTTCTTCCTGCCGTCTCTTCGTTTCCAGGTTTGTATTGAGCTCTTTAACTTGAGTGTCTACTTGTCTTAAGCAAAATGTGAGAACAGACAGACGTCTCTAAAAAGTCAAAGAAGAAACAAGAAAACAAAAATAAAAACAAACAACAAAAAGGACAAGACCCTGTTAAAGCGGTAACTCAGTCCCCTTGGAATGAGGCAGGCGATTAATTTTTAAGGAGCAGTAGCCATGTGGGAAAGGAAAAAAAAACTACCACCTAGGCAGTAATCATTGAGTTCTTTGCGTTGGTTGATTGAAAACAAAAATGCTAAGCTGTGCAATTCTTAAAGTTAAGCAACACTGCGTGAATACTGTAGAAGAAAATAACAATTAAAATAAAACAAATAAAACAAAAAGGGTGAGAAAATTAATTGTAGAGAAGCAGGAAGGGGACGGTGTAAGTGAAACATTGTCTTTTGTTCTACTAAGAGCTAGTTTGATTTTCCCACCAAGAATCATGAACTGAAACTCGGACAATGACAGCGGCGGAAAATAAAAGGTGCATAATTAATTACGCTACAGCTCAGTGATTTTTAGTCACAGAATTAACCAATGAAAAGATTTCTTGTTTTCTAATCAAACGAAACCAAGCTAATTACAGACTTTGAAGTACCTAAAAAACCTGTCAGACCGGTTAAATCACTTAAAAATAGCACATGACCATATCTTAATGAGATTCCTCTGCATTTTATTCATAAGATAAAGACAAAAGGTTATGACGTCATTGGCGTTTATGTATTCTCCCGCAAGATAATGAGATTTCCCCGCAAAAAAGAAGCCTAACCGATCCCTCCCATACTACTTTTGTTGTCGACAAAGAATAAGGGTATGTCAAACAAAATTTTTAATTTGTGGGAAAAGTTTCCTGACCAAAAGACGCTTTAGAAACGACAGAAAATTCGTATCAATGTCAAATACTTGACGGGGTGGGGTAACCATGGGACATTTGGTAAAATCTACGCTGTTGTTGAGTAGTTGTTTTCTTTTTTCCTCAAAAACGGATATTTAACGAGCAGTTTTTGAGAAAAACGGTAGGTAGACAGCAGTTTTTTTTTTAAAAATTAGGGTATACTAAAGATGTGCGTTATTCAAGGTACGGCGTTGAGGGGAGTATATACTGATGATTTTTTTTCAAGGGGTAGGAATTATTTACGGGGCGTTAGGTAGTACTTTGGGCAAACCAACGCACGAAAGCAATTACCTCCAAGCCTTCCATACGCATTTCGCAATTCTCAATTTTTTTATCTTGTTGTTCACCTTCCTCGCTCTTGCTCTGAAACGAAACAAATCAGTAAAAACTCCGGCTTAACACTCGTCGCTGGCAATAATGTCATCTTACTATTCTTTCATTTAATAAATTCGGGACAATTAATACTCCAATAACTTGTTTAAGGATAAAGTGTTGTTGTTTCATGTAGTAAAACTTAGCACTCACTTGAAGCTGTTTTTTTAAATTTTCAATGGCAAGCGTCAGTCCTTCATTAGCATCACGGTCATTCTGATTCCTTTGAATTTCTATTCGTAGAGTTGTTCGAAGATCATGCATTTCTTTATTCTGTAATAGAGACATCTAGCATTAATTAATTTCTTTTTATTCAAACATTTTATTGACGAAGTTTGCCCTAACAGCAACAAAAAACTCATCGAGAAGGCTCACCTCAGGGTAACGTTCTTTACTAAAGTGATCCATATGAAAAAGAACAGTTGGTATAGGAAAACAAACAAGAAATCAAATAAATTTATATTAGACTAATTATATCACAAATCAAACCTTTTGTGCAAGCTGCCTTTCCACTATTTTCCTCCATTCTTTACGATCCTTCTTATCTGCACAATAAAACAGCAATGGGGTTTATGGATTATAAGTTAGTCACTGGAACCTAGTTCAGTGATCTTATCTCCAACTAGCGTGTTAAGAAGTCATCTTTTTTCCCTCGATGAATAAAATGCATAACTTTATACTTATTCTATACTTTATGTATTACATTAGATCTTTCCGCATAAGAGTATTATTTGATAAGAAAGTTTAGGAAAACCCTTTAAACAAATATCTGACAAGGTTATCGAAAATGATGGAAGTTGCAAAGAACTAGAAGGATCAATCATGAAAATGTTGCCCTGTCACCTCTCCGAACTCTTTAGTCGGAATAATGCCTTACTTTGTTTTCTAATGCTTGAAGTATTTCCCATTCTGATGAAAATGTATCAGCTGAAAACACCATTTACTGCACGCGCAATGACGGATTGTGACGAAAGCCGTGACAAGAGCACGGTTGCTTTTCACCTTGTTTCGGTAAACAGGTTTAACAGGAACAAGAATCAGTGAAAACTCGGGAGATTACTTAAAAAACTTATATTTAAAAATGCAAACTTTATCTTAAGGGCTTCTGGACAATATTTTTATATCAATTATCTGCCACAAACTGGTGGGTAGCAGTGTTGTACAAATAAAACCGTTGTTTAAATTTCAGTCAATCAAGAGGCTTAATCAATCTATTCTCGTATAAAGACCTCTCGTAGGGCCTCTTCACATCAGCCTGGTTGACCCGACTGGCCCGCTTACCTGGACGAATTTTGCCTTGGGTTCATATGAGAAATTTCAGCCCGGTTTCCGCGACAAGGAAAGGCCAAAGATCCTCGAGACGAGTCCTGGTGCTAAATTCGAGAAACAAAGCAAACAACTTTTGCGCCGATCATAGCTTCGGCAACTCTTAAAGCTGTTTCACTGCAGTTATGATGCAGCTTATGATGTGGAAAATACGAAGGCAACGCAAGACAATGCCATCCACAGCGCAAGAATTCATCCAGCTTACATCCCTGTAACCGGGCTGAAGTTACCCTGGGTGCCAGATACTTTTCACGCTCGGTTTCCGGTTTCTGTCAAGGCTTCGCCGCTCGTGTAAACGACCTGCGTTCGACGAAGCTCTTCGTCGCTCGCGAGAAAAAACTGGCTCTGGTACCCAGGGTAGGCTGAAGTGTTCATATGGTAAAATTTCCAGCCCGCTTACCGAGATCTCGGTTGGAAAAACTGAGATCTCGGGAACAGAGCCAGTCCGCCCTCTCATATATACATATCGAAAATTTTACAAAGTATTTAGAGGTAGGGCGAGATCTCGGAAACCGGGACAGCCCGCGGGTCAACTGATGTAATGTGACGAGGCCCATAGACAGACGCCATCAAGATTGGGGTACGAGTAAAAAAAAAGCGCAGAAAGGCGCAGGAAAGCGCAGGTCGTTGCGATCTGAAATGAATAGAAATCAATACTGCGAAAAAGTACGCAAAGTTTTCTATTATGCTGTCGGGAGAATGAACGAATCACGGACAATTTCAATGCGTGAGAACAAGCATTTTCATTGGTTCATTACATCCTCCTCTTTCTTTCATAGAAAAATTTACCTTTTTTCTGAATGGACTCCTGAAATAAAACAAAAATTCGTTTTTACCAACTGAGTTGGAATAGACACAATAAAGGGTGCTGAAGAACTGTTGTTTTGATTGCAAGCCTTTGTTAGAGAGGGGTTCTTAAGGAAAATAGCCTGCGTTGCAGCCGGCCCTCGCATCGTCTAAATCAGTTACTCTATACAGGAGGTTAAGAGCGTCTGCCTACCACGAAGGCTAGAGGATCACTAAAATATAAAAACAGTACATCCAAGTAGAACAGGAGCCCATAATTAACTATGGGTATATGAACTCCTGAGTAGAGCTAGATATTGATATTGATTAAAACAAAACAACAAAAAAGAACAACAACAACAACAACAGAAACAGGTGGACGACAAACAACGGGATATGAACTCATCGACTCAACATATTTTTCAGCTGTCTACGGCTACGGCTACGGCTACAATCCCGCTCTGTTTTGAGTTCTTTCGGTGTCATGTTGATGTTTTGCAAAGTTAACTTTCACGTAGTACGATCAGTATCGCAGTATTCTGCTTGCAGAATTTAATATGTCTGTTTGTTATTTTTGCTTATCAGGTCTTTATAGATCCTACGTTGTTCGGCATATTCGTTTGCGGTCTTTTGCAGTCCTTTGTGGTTGATGTTTGTACAGTTAAGAACTCATCGTCGATCAAGCTAGTCCCTAGGGTTCTCTCTTACCCGTCCCTAGGGAGCGGGTAGGGGAGAGAACACAGGAACGAGGTTGATCGTTATTTTTCTAAAGGAGATGGTACTTTTTACACTAAATTGCTGTGTGTTGCAATGTTGTAATTTATTCTCAAGTTAAGTTTAGTAGTTTGTAATGAAATTTATAAAAATAGCAATCAAGGTTAAAATATACTTGATACTGTCATTAAGGTTAATTGATTTTATGGGTTTTCTGTAGTTTGTTTTATTTTCGATGATATACATAAGTCTAATAGGAAACTCAGCTGTGGAAGTCACGCACGCGCAGCTGATGATTGACAAACGAGACCACGTTTTTAATTGTCTTAAACAAATAAAAAACCAACGTTTTACAAAGTCTTTACATTTGCAAGATCTTTATTTGAAACACTGGCAATAGAATTTTCAATTCAGGAGAAGACACCTACCAGATCAGTTGACCAATTACAGCGCTGGTACATTTTGGGGGATAAAACAAAATTTTTTGATCAGAAAATTATAATTATGTATCGCATTTCATAACAGATACCACAAACGAAATGCATCAAAGCGATGTTATTGATAATATGAGAGATATAAAATATCTTCATACCGTCAGTATCGTGCGTGCTTGCGTGCGAGGTGGAGATCAACAACTTTTACGTAATCAAACTCAAAACGGAAGTGCTAATTGATTAAATCAGTACTTAATTAAATTCTTGTTGACAGATCAATTCTATTAAGGCTTTGTTTACTGGGTTGGGACTGCAATTAAATACGTAACTCTTATTTCCTCTTACAACCTTTCAATTAAGTGTCTTCTCAAAAACATAGTGAACATTTATTTATATCCAGTTCCTGCTAATAAACGGAGTTGATCTGCCAGTACTTTTGTGCGAATTTTCAGCCACTTTATTTAAGTGATTACAACGCCCCTGATAGTATACTAATGCTCTTATCACATCCAGCATATTGAACATCACTGATTTTTCTCGTGATAATTCGACGACGTTTGTCAAGAGTGCGATGTGATCAAGAACAGGAGCCTTAGGGGTTTTTTAAAATCTCTTCAGTGACATTTATAGCAGAAGGAACCACAACAATTAAAGAAAAAATTTATCGAAAGTTAAAAACATGCAAATGACAACGCAACATTCAATAATCCTAAGGTTGGTCATGTCCGCATACTCCTTCTAAAATCCTCCATCATCGTCTCCGGCATTCAGGCATTGGTTAGCCAACTAAGCCTTTAAGTCTAGGTCGTCTAGGCTGAAGTGAACGAAGTCATCACTGGCTAAGCTTGTTTGTTTTACCAAATTGGCCAAAATTATCCTTATTTGTGTGTTGCTATTCTAGAAAGCCAAACTCGAAAGATTGTTAAAAAATTAAAAAATTAAAATTAAAATCGAAATTTCCACCTGTATACTACTACATGAGAAATTTCTGCAATTTGATTGGCTTAGAGCAGTGGTATTTCAGCTTAATTTGAAATACCTACATGTGAATATTACAAAACCTTTGTGAGTAGTAGTATAAACAAATAATAGCATGATTTGTACGTGATATTTGGCATAAATACCACTCGTGATATTTCAAAATTGTCTCAAATTTCACTCGCCTAGCGGCTCGTGAAATTACGTATAACAATTTCGAAATATCGTTCGTGGCATTTATGCCAAATATCCCTACAAATCCTGCTATTACCTATACTAATTCATATTGAAAATTTAGCTCAATAGCCTATATGTCGACCATGAGGCGTACAAAGGTGAACAAACTTTGCCAGCATTAATAAAGATTTTGAAACAACTGACCCACAACTACGCAACGACCGCCTGGGTCAAGACGACCAGTACCCTGATATGCTTAATCTTCAGTTGTGACAGTTTTAGCGCCAACAGAGAGCGGAGAGGATTAGGTCGTTTAACTGTCATTAAGCAGATTAAGACTCCGTTAGCCTACCATTTGATTTAGGAAGCTAAGACCAATTTTTTTT